AAAACTGCTACACATAGCCCGCGACGCAAATCTGATGCTCATGAGCCACATAAGGATAGTCATGGTCATTCGAATATACACGAAAAAACAACAACACATGGTCATGTAGTCACACATAAGAAAGTGACCACACATCATAAATCGGATGCTCACCATCCAGAAAATGACACGCGCGAAGACATTAAGCCTGAAACAATTGAACGCAATTCAACTGAACCAGATAATGTTGAACGGACAGGTATTCTTAAAGCGATTCCCAAAAAAAAGATTCTCGTTTTTTCACTACAAAAAACTGAACATTAGCATCTGACCAATTCACGCTAGCCTCATTCTAAAGCAACACCCTAATCTATTGTTACTTTTGTGAAATGGTTATTGTTAAGTTTCGTTATCTAGCAAATTTGAGAATATCAATCATTCAGCTTGGCGAGATTATATTTAAAACAGTTTTTCAATGAGAAATAGATGCCCAGAATAAGAAAATGATTTTCTAAGTCTCTGCTAGGATTTTGCTGTTATTTGAATTCTCATCAATTTATTTCTCATAGAAACTAGCGACGCGGTTGCAACTGTTACATTGGAGACTTCGAAAACCAACGCCGATAGACCTTCTGATGGCATCGATCAAAGCCAATCATAAAGTAATTCTCCGATGATACTTTATCAAACTGAATTTTCTTCTAAAATTGATATATTTTTACAAGTTTTCTTTTTTTTATTGTGTGTTTGTAATCGCACTCATTTTCAATGAAATACATTGTATATTGATTTTGATATGCAACCTATAAAGAGTGTCCCAGAAGTTCTGTTACAATTTTCAACCTCATCATTCTCGCGTTCAACCAGAACAAACTCCTTGAAACTTTGGCAGATTATTGTACATGTCAAGTACTACATAACTACAAAGTTCGAGGTCCATAGCTTTTACTATGGGTGAGAACCAATAAAAAGATTATCAGGTACTAATTTTTCAATTTTTCTGATCATCTTGGTTATTATTAAAAGAAATACAAACAATGGAAATAAAAAGAAATGCACAATAATAGGCATTGATGTTCGTGTCATTGATAAACAGCTTGATGAATTACTAATTTTAAACATGTTGATATTTTATTCGTCATATATTGACATAATGAAACACTAAATTTATTACATTTCTTTGTAATGTTGTTTTCCATATATTCAATATTAGTATTCTTGCCATAGTAATTTCCCTTTCAATGACGTTGAGAAAGTTTTATTTCATCGAATTGAATCCAAAAGTTATGCTTCTAACTTGCCGACCTTTGGCCTATCGAAAACGTTTGCGGTGCATTAAACGAAAGATTGCAAGGGCAAGAATACTAATATTGAATATATGGAAAACAACATTACAAAGAAATGTAATAAATTTAGTGTTTCATTATGTCAATATATGACGAATAAAATATCAACATGTTTAAAATTAGTAATTCATCAAGCTGTTTATCAATGACACGAACATCGATGCCTATTATTGTGCATTTCTTTTTATTTCCATTGTTTGTATTTCTTTTAATAATAACCAAGATGATCAGAAAAACTGAAAAATTGGTACCTGATAATCTTTTTATTGGTTCTCACCCATAGTAAAAGCTATGGACCTCGAACTTTGTAGTTATGTAGTACTTGATATGTACAATAATCTACCAAGGTTTCAAGGAGTTTGCTTTTGTTGAACGCGAGAATGATGAGTTTGAAAATTGTAACATAACTTCTGGGATACCCTTTATATTGATGCATCGTTATATTCTCGTATGGCCAATGTGGCGTTTCGGCTGCTACAGTCATCACTGCATCTCTTTGTCCTTTCATACATCCTCACACAGCAGATTAGTAGATTTTTGATCACCAAAAAAGATGTGTTCTGATCACAAAATGCTCCAATTGCGAAGTAATCACCCAAAATGCATTGCTTTTATCACTAGACTAACTGACAGAAAAGGGTTTGAGTGTGAATTTATCGTATTATGCGCCTTAGTAATATATGAGAGATTATTGAAAATTACTGATCAATTCAATTTAAAATTAAATAGAGACAAATAAACAGAAAGAGAGAGAGAAATCTGTACAATATTTGCTAAGATTGCAAAGAAACCCCTACGGCAGAATTGAGAAGCCGAATATTTCCAAAAAATAGAAGAACATATAGTCCAACATAATAACGTTTAAAGTCAATCAAAACTGAGTAGAAGTAATGTCAATTTTTCGTTTCTGCTAGAAATGCGCAAAAATGATATTGTTTCGACACGTTTTCACATGAAACTCAAACTTTGAGACAAGTTCATAAATTTACATAGAACTCCAACCATTTACTATGTAGCAAACATAAGTACGGGGTCCGAAAATATTTTATGTGATCTTGAAGCTCTTTGAGTGAACATGCTTTCGCGTTCAGTTCAGAAAAATTTTTCAATTTTCATCATTACTAAAGATAGCCATGCTCACGACAGGTGCTAACCATATCGATGACTATCGAGTTTTATTAGATACTCTCGGTCTCACACTGACTTTTCCAACAATAGACAAATCAACTTTGTGACTAAGGATGGCAGCGATTTCGGTTACGTTTCGACGCCCTAGTTATGTTATAAGTGACGGAGTCATTTCCACTTTGGTTACAGTATTCTCAGAAAGTTTTCACTTGGAATAGTTATCGACAAGGATGATATAGTTCGCATGTTTACTTGAGAGATTCGAAGAATGATTCTGAATTAGATTGCAAAAAAGGTTTAATATATTATAAAACACTTCGACTTGTTGCAGAAAATAATCAATCGCTATTTTACAAACTTCTGTAAGTTCGGAAAAATAAAGTTGTAATATTGTGTCTAGAGTTAGAGGATGGTGTAGTCTAAATCTCTAAAAATCCGTGCAAGACAGTTCTAATTTCCTAAAACTCGAAAAAGCTCATCAGAAAATTCCCTGAAAATAAGAGAAAACCTATCGAGACACTTTCGAAAAATGATTCAAAGCTGCCGTCAAAGTTTTTAAACGTAGAAGAGAAAACCTCGTCCCTAATCTTGATTAGTGTGTAGTGCTTCTTTAGTCACATTTTGCATTGAGTCTTTTTTCAACTTCTCTTCACAATTATAAAAACCTTTTTCCTTTCCTCATGAATCTTGAGTTAGCGATTTTTATTTCCCTACAGCCTCAATTAGTGCATTGGCTACACTTGTGCTGTATATTACTGCATTGTTTTTACTTGGTTTCTACTCCAGTTAATTTCTTTATATTGAGTTCTAAAGCACAACATTGAATCCTTAATATATCTACTCCATTCTTTCTCTTCCGTTATTCATATCGTCAAGTTGTCAGAGGAACAAAGCTCACCGCAATGATGATGTGACATTTTTGAGTCGGGAGCTCATATAGACTGTGTTGAACCATTTTTACGAGATATCTGCCGCTAGGCCACCGTCTGCTCATATTGTATACCATAGAAATAATAATAGCGTCATTATATTTGAGCCAT